CCGGGGGCGGGGCGGGGCCCCGGGGCGGCGGTGCCGGTGCCGGTGCGGGCCGGGCTCACGTTACGGCGGCCCCATTGGCCGGGGCGGGGCGGGGCGGGGCCGCCGGGCAGCGCCGGGAGGCGGCGGGCACGGCCGGGCGCTCCGTCCGCTGCTGCTGCTGCTGCCGCTCCGCCGCCGGCACCGACACCGACAGCACCGGGAGCGGGGCCGGGAGCAGGACCGGGCATGCACAGCGCCCGCCCGGACGAGCTCGGCGCCGACCGGGTGAGTGCCGCCGCGAGCACCGGGACGGGACGGGACCACCGTGCCCGCGCCCCGCCGCCCCACCGAGGCATTGCCGTGACGTCCGGGCGCCGTCGGTGACATCAGCGCCGTGACATCACACGCGAGGCCAAGGCGGCGCGGGGGACGGGGCCGACTGGTGGGACACGAGTGGCGGTGGGGACACGACAGTGTCCAGCTGTCAGGGTGCCAGCGGCACAGTCCCCCCGGAGCTGCCACCCTGCCGCCCAATCTGGGCTGCCCCAAAGGACGGCGGTGACAGGGTGGCCCTTTGGCTCCCCTGGGCCTGCCACATGCCTACCCAGCGCCCAACAGCCGGCTGCCCCTACGTTCCCGGCCAGCGGCGGGACTGGGCAGCTCGGGGCGGTGGCACGTTGCCAGTAGGGCTGGATGAGAGGGTCCCAGCCTGCGGAGAGGGGGACAGGGACCGGAGCGGGGACATGGACTGGGACAGCCCTGCTAGAGGGTCTGTCAGGGACAGGCAGAGGGGACAGGATTATCCGTCCACGGGAGCGATCCCTCCTGCACACTCAGCTTCCCGCGACTCCAGCGCGGAAAGGAAAGCGGACGTAACACCCTGCTTTTGGGTTCAGACAATAGGAATTCAAGAGTGAGGAGCGGCCCGGCTGCGGGAGCCAGGCGGCCCTTCCAGCGCCTGCCTGGCCGCGCTCCGTTCAGCCCTGGCTGCCTCGGCCCCCTGTATTCCGCGGTGTTTGGTGGTCTCTGGCACTGAGCAATGGCCTGGCTGCACCGTGACGTCACCTGGGGTGTCCCCAGCGTGAGGGCACGGTTTGGGTGGGTGGCCCTGCCAACGCACGGGGCGAGTGCCCCACCCCGGCACCCGCGGGTGCCCTGGGGCTGCCGCTGGCCCTGTGCCACCGAGTGGGGTTCTGCCGGAGGGGTGTTCCGGCTGCCTCCCCACCAGGCCGGGAGGACTCCAGGGGCCGGCGGGGGGGCAGTGGAGCACCCGCTCCTACGTGCCGTGGCCCTCTGTCATTTCCCGCAGGCACGGCCGGGGCTGGGTGCCTGCTTGCTCACCCGACATGCCGCTGCACGCCGGCCGGCTCCGCGCAGGAGCCGCAGGAAAGCGGGGCCCGGGGCTGCGGGCAAGACGGGACCTGCACCCGCTCCCCGCACCCTGCTGCGCGCCTATTGCGCCAGCAAAGCCCCCCCGAGCCGGGGCGGGGGGCGCGGGGTGGGATGGGAGGTGGCGGTGCTGGCTGGGGACAGTGGGGACCACTGTGCTGATTGTGCCCTTTCCCTGCAGTGGTGCCGGCGCGAAGCAGGGGCGGCGCCGCGGGCGCACATGCACAGCACGCGGCAGGCCCCGCACCACGCCGGAGGGGCGCCGGGGCCGGCCCCCCGTGCCCCACGCCCCGGCTCGGCGGCGGACTCGGCCTGCAGCCTGGATCCGGGCGGCGAGGAGGAGGACGGGGGGGGCCCGGCCGCCCGCTCCCCCCCGGCCAGCGAGCGCAGCCTGGAGTTCGACTCGGGGTACTCGGAGGCGTCGGGGGGCACGTGGCGGGAGGAGGAGGTGCCCGTGCGGCGCCGGCACCTGCTGCCCTGCCAGCGGGCACACCGGCTCTCCGCCGGCCCCGCCGCCCCGCCGCCCGTCCCCGCCCGCCGTGCCCGCCCCAAATCCACCTCGGACGCCTGCCTGGAGCAGTGGCGGGCCCTGGAGCCCGCCGACACACAGGACTGGACCGTAGCGCTGCTGTCGCAGAGCCGGAACCGGCAGCCCCTGGTGCTGGGCGACAACTGCTTTGCTGACCTGGTGGAGAACTGGATGGACCTGCCCGAGGTGGGCGCCGAGCCGCGGCGCCGAGCCCCCGCCGAGCCCTCCCGCCGGTTGGCCAAGCCCCCCGCCTTCCTGCTCAGCCTCTCGGGCAATGTTCGCCGCAAGCTGGCCAACATGGCCCGGCCCCGGGCGGCCGAGGGTGCCCGGCCAGGGGGCCGCGATGCCACCAAGCGTTTCTCCTGCCCGCTGGGGCTGGGGGGGCAGCCCAAGGGTGCCTGCTTTCACCAGTCCCACAGCAACATCACCCAGCTGGCCACGGACTTCCACCGCTTCACCGCCCTGATGAACAGCCGCAGCCGCCAGCCCATCATCTGCAACGACGTTATCGGCTACATTTAGCCCCGCTGCTGCCGCCCGCACCCCCTCCCTGTAAATAAACCCCGGTTTTGTACGGTGTGGGCACTGCAGCCTTTATCAAGGGGGGTGCCTGTGCCCCGACTCTGGGCAGGGGCAAGAAGGGAGTTTTTGCAACAGTGGTTCCTGCAGCTTTTATTGCGTGGGGCAGGAAGTGCCGGCCCCTTGCTCAAGGTAGGGAGCAGAGGAGAGGAGGACGCTTATCTTCATCCTCAGCATCCTCTCCCTCGCACACATAATGCAGCTCCAGGTCCTGCTGCTGCGGCATCCCGGCACCCTCCAAGATCTCTGATAACCTGTAGCAGGGAAAGGGGGTTTTGGGGACACTGGCTTGCCCTCCAAGGCTGGCTGGGCGCCTGGGGGTGCCTTGGGCCCCTCAGGGGTGTCTGGCCAGGCTGGTGGGACACAGGGGCCGTCAGCAAGGGGCCGGGCAGGGGTCCTGCCACGGGAAGCGCTGCCGGCAGGATGTTTATCCAGCAGCTGGCTGGGAGCTGCACTGCAGCTGGAGCAGCTCAGGATGGAGGGAGAGGGGGCTGAAAGCCCCCGCCCTGGGCAGGATTGGCCCTGGAGCCGGGGACCTACCTCTGTGCCTGTTGCCGAGCCCGTGTCTCTTCATCGTCTCCCTTGTTGTAGAGTACGGTGTCACCGTGCAGGAGCGTGGTCACAGTCCAGCCATGTGTCCTCTGCAAGAGGTGGGTGTCACGATCTGTCCCTGTAACCCCCAGGGTGACCTGATTGGGTGCTGCTGGCACTGGGCTCACCTGCAGCCAGTCCAGCACCTCCTGCACTGTCATTGCCTGCCCGTCTGCGCTGACTGCCCTCATCTCCAGCCGGTCCCAGCAGCTCCATTCACGCCCGCAGTACTGTGAGGGGGAACAAGGGATTGCAGCCAGCACTGGCACCCCGTATCTTGGCTGCCCAACCCCATGGGGCAGAGACTGGTGTGGCATGAGGGCTGGGGGACATCAGGGCAGGCAAAAGGACCGGTCAGGGGACAGGGGGAGAATGGTGGTCCCCTGTGGGAAATGAAGACACAGCTGTCCCACGAGCATTGCTGGTGTCCAGGGGCAGCCAGGGACAGAAATGTCCCCTCAGCACTGCTGAGGTCCAGGGGCAGTTGGGGCCACAACTGTCCCTCCAGCACTGCTGGGGTCCACTGTAGGGGTCGGGGTCGGTGTAGGGCCGGCACTACCCCCAGCCCCAGGCCAGGACGGGCACACAAAGGGCCATTGAAGTGCTGCCCAGCCCCACACAATCACCTCTTCTCAAGCCCGTGGCCCCCCGACCCCAGCTCCAGCCCGAGGAGGCCAGTGCGGCGCCAAGCCCGGGGCCAAGTGCCGGATGCGGCCCCGCACCGTCTGGCAGGGCTGCCCGGCCATCTGCCCTCGCCGCAGGCACTGCCAGCCCTGCCCGCCTGGCCCTGGCCCTGCTCGGGAGGGGTGTTCACACCTGGTCACTCTCCCTCCTGCCTTCTCCTGCCTTCTGCTGCCTTCTCACCTCCGCCTTCTGCTGCCTGCACTTATCCCACCGGGCTGGGAAGGGCTTAACCCCATCCTCACCAGGGCAGTGACTGCCCAGTGAGGAGGGAATGCCATTGCCCATCCCAGCACCCTGAAAACACATCCTTCTGGCCCTGAGAAGCACATGCCTCTGCACTGCCCCAAAGGTGGGCTCCCCAGGCCCCTTTGGGGACACAGGTCACACCAAGTGAGCCTGGGGGACATGTGCTCCCACCACGGCCAAGCAGCTGGGGGTGAAATGTCACGCTGGGTGTCCTCACCATGGGACATGAAGGTGCCAGGTGCTGCTGCAGGGACCTAAGGGCATGGCCAGTCCCAGCAACATCCTCCATCCAGGGACAGTGCCAACCCAGGGGCACCTTGGCCAGGATGGCACAAGGCTGGGCAGCCCACAGGGCACAAGAGAGCTGTGGGGCAGCCGTCAGTCCAAAGTGGTGCTGGAGTCGGCAAGGCAGTGGAGTCGCCTCCCTCCCCCTCTTCCTGCCCCCGGCCCTGGGCCCCCCGGGCCAATCTGGTTCCAATCGGCGCTTCCTGCCGTGCCGGAAGGGCTGCCTTGCACGCCATAAACCCCCAGACAAAGGGGCCTCTATAGCCCAGACGGTCCCAATCTGGGCCTGCCCCCGCCCCCGCTCTCCCTCCCTGGCCCCCCACCGCTGGGACCCCCGGCCCCGCTCCCCCCGGGCGGCCCTTCCCGGCCCGGTGCCAGCTGCTTTCTGGCTGCTGCAGCTGGTTTCCATAAGCCAGATGTGCGCGTCTGCAGCGGACTGCCACCCCTGGCCGTGGGGCTCACGATGGGGCCCGCCGTGGGGCAGCGGGACTGCCTCACCCCATGGGCACCCCAGAGCATCCCGGTTGGGCCCTAAGCTGGGGCGGGTGGGACAGTGGCAGCAGCTCAGTGCTGAGGGGCAGCCATAGGAAGGAGCTGGTTCCCAGCTGTCGGGCAGCGTTCCCGACCCACTATGACACCCGGAACCATTGCTGTAGTGCTACAACCAGGGCTGCCCCTTGCTCCTGGCTCTCCCTGACATTGTCCCACCGCAGATGCCACCAGCCCCTAGGTGTCCCCCACCTGTGCTGCCCCCAGGGAGAGGGCCCTACCCAGTAGGTGGGCGGCGGGGGCGGGATGCGGCGGAGCAGCAGGCAGTTGGACAGGGAGATGTTGCTGTTGCGGTAGCAGCTGAGGTCCTGGCACCCCCACACCAGCTTGTAGACCTCCAAGCACGCCAGCCCAGCCACGGCTGCCGTGGTGGTGATGATGGCAGGCACGATGCGCCCGGCGATCCGCTTGCTCTAAGGAGAGGAGGGGTGTCACCAGCTGCCTCGCCCAGGACAGGGACCCCATGAGCCGCCCCTCTCACCGTCAGCCAGTCGGTGGGGGGGATGCCATAGTTCTCCGCACGCAGGTTGGATGCTGCAGTGATAAAGTCCACGTGGATATCGTTGTCCTGTGGGGAAGAGTGTGGGGACATGAGCATCCTATGGGTACATCAACCCCCCAAGCTGAGCAGGGCCATCTGCCCGGCTTCGGTACCTTCTCAAAGTGGATGGGCTCCATCAGGGGCACTTGCGCCTCCTCATGCCCCACCAGCTCCTGTCTCTGCTGCACCAGGTCCTGGATAAGCTCTGTCACCTGCCTGTGGTCTGGGGGCACAGGGACCCTTGGTGTGGTACCCCTGCACTGTGGCACTGCAAGGGGCACGGCACAGTGCCCCCACTTCGGTCCAGGTCCTGCTGGATGCTGGAGCAGGGAGGAGCAGTTGCAGCCCCACTGCCACCAGGCTGGACTGAGGGACCTGGGGACATGCCTGAGGGGACCAAGGAGTGTGAGGAGCCTCACCTGTGGGCTTCTGTGCCTCCTCCTGCTCCTCCGTGAGGGGGATCTGAAGCCCTTCCTGGGGTGCAGAGGGTGGCAGGACCACACTGTGGAGGATGTCCTGAGCGGCTCTCCGGTCCCTGCATGGTGGCACCCTGTATACTTGGGCAAAGAGGTGGGCAGTGGCCAGGATATAGTCCAGGTGGGTGTCCTGCAGGGCAGAATGGGGCCATGGGACATCTTGCTGGGGTGGTCCCACACAGCCAAAGGCTGCCTGCACTGCCCCGAACTGGTAGAACAGTCTGGCTTTGTCCCAAGGTGGAGATGGAGGAGCCTCTTCTCCTCAGGCCACAGAGCACATGCAGCAGTGCCCTTGCTGACCACGGGACAAGGACAGACCCAGCCCAGGACCTGTCAGCCCTGGACAGACTGTGGCAGATGGAGCACAACCACAGTCCAGCATCCCTGTACCCCTGGCACAGGCTCGGCTCTCCCTCAGCCCACACTGTCCCCGTGAGGGACCCCGCAGCTCTCCCTGCACTCACATTCTCGGGGTTGAATGTCAGCGGATGGGGACAGCTCTTGTCCCCTGTCCAGAAGGGGACACCCGGGCTGGTTTCCTGGAACAGGGAGAGAAGAGTCAGGCCCAGGGATGTGTGCCCCTGGCTACAGCGAGGCGGCTGGAAGGGGTGCAGGGGTGCCAGCCCCATGGGCACTGGGCTCACATGCTCCGGGGGGTAGATGTGCAGCAGCTGGGCGATGGCATCGTGGTAGCGGCTCTGCCAGTGCCGGCGTGCCCAGAGCACACAGTCCCGCCAGTCCCGCGGCCGCTCCCGCAGCCTGTCCCCCACCTGCTCCAGGACCTTCAGGGCCTTCCCCGCTGGCAGCTGCTCCAGGAAAGCTGGGTCTCTGTAAAACCAGGCACTGCTGATGCTGGCCTGAGAGCAATCCCACAGGACACCTGGGTGGGATGCAGCAGTCTGGCATCCTCTCCCCAGCCCCAGCAGTGCCGTGGCAGAGCTGGCAGCTCCTCTCCCGGTGTCACAGCCCCCAAGCCTACTCACTCCATGAACCGGTTGATGTGCTCTGCAGGCAGCTGGAAAAGCCCCTCAAACTCATCACGGGCCCACTGTGGAGGGAGAGTGGGTGTTGAGCACAGGAACCCCTCTCATGGCCCCCAGTCCAAACCCAGTAGGACGAAGAGACTATGGCAGGGCCAGCAGCAGCACTCAGGCTACCAGCAGGAAGCAGCTGGGGCTGTATCCTGCCTGTGGCCCACTGCTGGAGGGGAAACAGGGAAGGAAGACAAAGGTCCCGGTGCCTCCTTGCTGGGTGCTGTGGCCAGGGCGGCTCAGCCTACCTGCAGTGTGTGCTGGATGGTGCGGGGGAAGTACCGCAGGGTGCAGGGGGCAAAGGTGCCATCCCTGGGGGTCCCGCCCGGCTCCAGAGGCTTGGTCAGGTGTGGCACCATGGGCAGCACGTTTCCCCGTGGCCCCTCCGTGCCTGAGTCCACCAGTGGTGTGCGGCATCGGAGGCAGCAGCTCTCCAAGTAGGTGCCTGCAGGGAGCCAGGAATGCTGGGGAGCCAGGGGGCACGTCCAGGGGCTCAGCCCCTTTCCCCTTCCCAGCACTCACGGGCCTCCATTGTGTCCAGGGCGCTGGTGACACCGTCCAGG